ATTTGAAGAAGATGATGATGAAAAAAGCGTGAGGAATTTGTGGTTGAATGATCTATATAGTCCACTTGTGATTGAAGTGCCTTGATTCTTATATTAATCTATAAACTATAAGGTATTTATTGCAGTTTCTCAACCCCGTGCTGCTCATTGTCGTCGCCACTCGTCCAATTCAATTGAATTTTTTTTTTCTCAAGTCCACTCAATACTTCATTCGCCAGCCACTTAATCTTTTATGTCAATTTTATTTCAAAAAATTATCGCACAGTGTCGAAAATTTAATGCAACAAACTAAAATCCATATATATCCGAAACGCGAGCGCATTGTGAAAGAGCAGGGAAATAACCAATCTTGTTAAAAAGGCATCGAACACGAACAAAAGAGTGGAGAGTGCGCTTGCAATTGATTTTCGAATAAATTTATTTACACATATTTCAACACGTTCCACCATCCCACTCATTCTCGCGCGCATCATACTACGTTTTGTGCAAAAGCGTGCGATTTATGCACGATCAATACATATGTTATTTATGGACGAACAACGCGACTAAACTGTGTGTATTTGTTGATAAATCCTTTGTCCAATTTAAGATAAGTTTCTGTTGATGTTGTTGTCGTTTCTTTTTTTTCTTCTTCAAACTCACTCTATACTCTTTTATTTCGTCCCTTGCATTTTCTCATCTTTCGAACATTTTTTTTTTTCGCTGCACTTATTGTGCAAGCATTTATCATCATGTTGCACGATTTGTTCAACATGTAGGCAATTATGGTGTGTGTTAACACCAAGAGCAAGATCGAGAAGAAATACGCGCATAAACATGGCAATACATTGAACAAAATTCATTTTAACGAATTATGGCATCGTAATTTTTAGAAACTTTTGTTTTATTAGTTTCAAATGTAATCGGATAATTTTCATCGCAATGAACACAATGAAATTCTAATTTAGAAATAAAAAAATAAAATGAACTGGAAAATAATTTCCAATCAATATTCATAGCCTTTTATACTTGAATCGTTTGCAATGGAAAATGGATAGACAGAATAAAAAGAAGCGGCATAAAACGGTTTGTCTCGAACGAAAGTTTGTAAAATGCATTCATTTGAGTTTAATTTGTGCGCTTATCTTGTTCAATGTCTCCCCCAAATGTATAATTGCCAAATGAAACAGTTGAATGAACTTAAATCCAGTTAAATAGTTGTGATTCGTTGCGTTGAAATATGGTCGTACTGATGTGCAATCTATACTAGCAATCTACTGAAATTGCAACAACTGAATGTGATTTTTCACACAAAAAATCGATTCTTTTTCCAGAATTGTTATATTCAACTGAACTTTTGTAGTCCGTTCTCTTTCTTGCATTCAAGTGTCCACGACGAATTGATCGAGAATTCCCGGAAGAAATTGTACAAACTCCCGATGAATATAAACAACATCTAAAATCATCCTTTGCAAATGTAACTTGTGTATAAATGTGTATGTGTCGTTTGAAATCATCGAAGGTGATTTTATACATCCGTTTCCATTTAGTGTGGAAGAAAATAGTTTTCTCGGGCCATGTCTGCATGAATACTTTAGCCAATTGGAAACGGCAATGGATCCGAATTGCAGACGAAAAAAAATATGAAAACGAAGTTGAAATGAAGAGGGACAAACTCCAAAATACATTAAAACCGGAATGAAAAGATTGGAGAATAAAAATTGGAAGGGAGAATAGGAAGTGTCCTTCAAAAAAAAAAGTTGGAAAAATATATATATTCGTTTTTCAAGTCCAAGAGCAAGCTAGCCAATTGATGCCGAAAATAAGCATCCAAACATGTGCAATGTATATAGTTTGGAATCATAGTGAACGGGAAAAATCAAAGAATTGCATTAAATGTAAAAACGCTTGTTTCATCGACAGATGTTGAAATAAAGGCACAGACAAACAACTGAACAACACAGACGATGGTCGTGATTTTCGTACTTTGTGGAAATCAGCATGTCTGGCACCAGACACACACACACAAACATTATAAAAAAAGAATCGAACTAATTCGACATGTACGCTCCATCGACACAAATAATCCAGAGATGTGTGGAAAGACCAAGGCTCAGAGACTACAGCAAGGAAGCGAATGGGCGTTGATGTGTGCATGAGAATAACTAAAAGGTGTCGATTTATATTATTACTGCAAACAAGCAATAACGCATTTTTATGCTCAAAAAATCTAGCAAGCGTGAAATTGCCTAGATTTTCGAGAGCACCAACAACACCACCGCCATCATCATCATCAGACACCATCTTTCGTTTGCATGTTCAGCGACACGATAGTCAAATTATGAGCGCTTCACTCAATCTCATGCATACACACAAACACATCATCCACATATAACTAAAGACGGAACGACAAAAAATAACTCGTTAAACTAAAAAGCGAATGTGAACGAGAAATAAAATGAAAATAAAATCGAAAAAAAGACAAAATGAGTAAAAAGTTTATGTCGAAAAATGCGATATATCTCGATTCTGACACTAAACACACACACACATACACATACTCACACGTATCAAATGTTTTATCGATGATGATATTGGTGCGCGCACAGAAGGTCGAACAAGCGCTTTTCTTCCAACAAAATCCGATAAAATCATCGACGAAAAACTAATAGAGTTGTCGGTACATATTCTTCTCCTTTTTTATTATTACTTTCTTCTTTTTGCTTATTTTTTTTATCTTTTTCACTCAGTGATTCACTCATTCGATATGTTCATTGTTCAACTACAATCTTGTTTTCTGTCAATGCAAACGTTGCACACAAGTGGCTGTATTAAAGTGCACATTTACAAACAGATAATATAGTAGTTGAAACGAAGTGCGAAAACGTTTATCAATACTTCGTTAAGTTTGTGCAAAAGTGTAATTTTTCATTTTCTCACCGAGCCCGATAGCATCGACGACGATGGAAAATGTGAATGTGAGAAGGGCCATTCAAAAGCGTTCATCATTGTTCATACTCAAACATTACATTGCAAAAGGTGACGCTGGAAAACGTATTAATGACCAATAAGGCAAGTGGGATTGAGATTTGTTGAGTGCAGTGTGACTCCCTCGCTGCGGATAAAAGTGCATATTTCACACAATTTGTGGTCTTGCTAAACTTTCGTCAGGCCGAGAAGAAGATGATGACGATGATGACAACAAACACTAACGATCACTGCAACAAAAGCGCATTCACACAACAAAATTGACTGCATTTCATAACTATGATGATACAATCGTTGCAACACGAGAAAGCAATATTTATGACACATTCCAAACTATCAACAACACTTTTCCGTTTGCTACCGTGTGCGTATTCCCATTCGTATTCGAGGGTTCATGGTTGTATTTTCTACGTGTCAGCGTAAAAAAAGGCCACGACGAAGACGGAGACGACAATGGCAACGACACATATTTTTCATTCTGTCTTTCATTTTGGTGCACTGCATATTTCACCAAAAAAAAAAAAAAACAATTCTAAAAAGAAATAACTTCATTGTTTGGTGTGCTAGCGTATGTGTTCGGTGCTAAACAAACAATATAAATTCGTGTGGGGAGCATCGCACAATATCAAATGTTGTTGGTCGTTTTGTATTTGCTGCAACCGCATCGTGTGCACTACTCTATACACTTTTGAATGCTTTACTTCTCAAAGTTCATATTTCAAATTGGATTTTAAAAGTTTTTGACAATAAAAGCATTTATTTTCGAATAGATTTCATTTTCAGTTTTGGATGCGCTCGAGTTTTTGATTCTTTTTCATTCTTACTCTTTCTCGCCTTCCACAGCGTGTGCGTGTATGTGCTTGTGCTATGGAGACCATATGGATATGGAACTTGTACGCGAACAATTCGTTATATATTTTTTTCACTTTAAATTTAATAAATGCAACTTGATCACATACCTTCTCTTTTTTTAGCGTTGATTTTATTGTTTGTTATTTGTCCTTATGACTGATACATGAGAACTTTTAAATTGACTAAATTTTCCGATTCGCATTGACACTTTTCGTCATGGAAAGAAATGCACTATCCCCGAATTGATCGGTGGCAGTGACAAAAATATAAACAACCATCAATGCAATCGTATACAAAGAAAAAGTGAATTGATAAAGTTCGGATTGGCATTTGATAAAGTTCAACAATTTTTGTTTGGTGAAAGCGTGCAACACATACAACATATTGTAGCAATGCGATTGTAAACAACAATTTTCAAATTGCACACAGACCAAACATTTGATATATATTCAATTGTGTTTATCAATTCGAATGTTTGAACATGACTGGTTTCGTTCAACTTTTATTTTTATTCATCATGATCAAAATGTTATAAGACATTTAAATATTTGAACGAGCAATGAATACCATGCACTAAAGTCAAATGCAATTAGAATCATACGTTAGCTTGACACGGTGGCTAGTTGAACGCAATCGATAAAAAAATAAATAAGCGAAAAACATTCCAACGACCCACAAATGCACCCATCAAATGCTCATAAACTATCGAATTTTATTTAATGAGATAACATACATTAAAGTGGTGTAGTCAATGCTTTTTAAACGTATATTTAATGATTTATATCATTACCAATTTGCCGCAAAAATTTCCAAGTAATAAAAACGTAATACGCAGTCTACTTCGAAACACAAATAAACATGGAACTATATGAAGTGCAAACATTTTTTCTTTACAACAATTTTCAGGTGTGTACACAACGAAATGAATATTCATTTCGGCTTTATTGCAAATTTACACGCCAATTCAATTGTTTAGTAAAGCACACATTAAAAAAAAATATTATTTAAAAGTAACTAGAAATTATCTATGCAATTTTCATTTGCCACCTAGTTGTGGTTTATGCAACCAACTTGTTTGGACCACATCCTATTTTGAACGATGCCTTTAACAACATCTTATTCTCATGAAAATAATTAAAAAGAATTATAATTTAATCACGTATATCTTTCTTTATTTACAGGTTTTCACATTGTGCTGACACGCAGGTACATACTCTTTCCCAAATTGCGGGATAAATTGAATAAAATAAATAAATTATGAAAAAATGCTACTGAATAATAACATCCAAAACTAAGGCAAATGTTTATATTTACGAGCTTAATCGATAGATTCGTTCATTGTTTTGCACGTATATATCAATTTTATATCGCGAGAAAAACATTGCTCAGCTGTTGTTTTAACAGCTTGAGTGCTTCAAGTCATCGCCGAAATATCAGTCTCAAGTGAAACGCAAATATTGTTTACATCATTATTGTTTTGACAAAATTCAATATTTTTCCCGTCGATATTTCGGATCTGAATGTTTCTCTTTTAACTGTATATAACTTATTTGAAATTTGAAGACTTTTAGGATACGCTGATTTCATTATAAAATAAATTGAATCTATAAAAGAAAAGTTTGAGTCTTCATATGAGGATTTGTTCAAACACCACTGGCCAATAACTAAGATTACATTATTCAAGTGTGCCCTGAATAAAACATTCGATGATACTAATTTTACACATTCGATCGGCAATTTCAAGTTGTTATACAGTTCAAAGTTTAAAGTAGTACACATTGAATAGTGTAGTGTGACCATTTAATTAAAATTAATTATGTAACTCACTTGACCTTATCTACTCAGTAGATTCCAATGTCACTTTCGCTCCAACTTCAACCATAAGTGTCTTGTTGAGGTTTGTCCTGTTTTCTTTGCTGTAACTTGTTAACATTCTGGAGCAAATTAGAGCAAAATTACCGATTGGTTGTAGAAACCACGTGTAAAATTTCAATTTTATTGGCGTATTTATTGGACGATTAAGACGAAAAGCTTAATTATTATGTGACTGAACAAGATTAAAATAAAATTTGAAGTCACACATTTTGTCAAATAAATTAAAGTCCGTATTTATACTTATAACTTTTCGTGTAAGCCATGCTTCTCGTTTTTACTAGATATTATACCAAATTCGTTGTTTGACACATTGTTTGACACGTCGTTCGATTGCTTTGACGCAATTTGGCGATATAATAGAAATATATCGTGGATACATTGAAAATGTATACATTTCAATAATTTGAAGGTATTTTTTAGCGAAGTACAATCATTTTTAGTTTTGAAAATAGCATTGTTTTTATTTCCATAGTATTTATTCAGCTTCCCAAGATATAAATCATATTCATTACATCAACACGGATCTATTGAAATTAATTTACTTAAGGATTATGAACTAAGGTTCAAATTTTCACTGGCATTAAGAACTCGATGAGTAGTTATGCATGCTTTTTGGTGGTTCTTTAAAAAGTGCCTTCATATAAATCATAAGTGTGTGCAGGTCATAACAAACTAGACTTATACTTTTTTGTTTCGCAGGATCAGTGGACCTGAGATAATTTGAAATCATTACCCATTGAAAATATAATTCAACGCAGGATTTAACTTACGACTGATCGTAGAGATTTTTCAACGTTCGTACAAAACTTCGAATTCTCAAATTATCGCTGAAAAAAACAAATAGCGACTAAATAATGGTATCTGCTTTCAAAACGAAAAACTTACTTTTCAAAATCTTGATAGCCTTGTTTGGTGTTATGGGCTCTTTCAAACGATTCTCCAAGTGCATTTATTTCGTTGCAAATGTTATTTAGATCACTGTCAGTGAAATAATAAAAAAAAAACAAAATCTATTGAATCAGCTTCGTTTGGATGAAAAAAATGAGAATTATCTCACTCGAATTCACCAGGCAATAATCCTCTGTTCAATACAATACTTTTATTCTCCTGAGCAGCTCCTCTGAGCTCTAAGAAAGCTATATCAGGCTTAGCAGAGCATCTAAATCATGGAGTTCAAATAGCATTAATAGCATAATCAAATTGATATTCGGATTAACTTACGATTTCACAAAATTCAGAAAACATTGTGTTATTCCTTCGGCTATTTCCAGCTCTGTAGGGGATGCGAAGACATGAGGCAACTTTATTTTCTGATAAAATGCAGGCTCTGGACATACATCGGGAAGCGCTACTGGCATTGAAAAATGATAATATTTTTATTCACGAAACACATTTTTCCTTTTTATATGATGAACCAAATCACAAGCTTCTTATATTCATAACTAGTATTTCATATTCACTTTCAAAGCCAATTGCCTTACCACTTTTGCTGGTACTGCCTCTAGTAAAGAGTCCAAAAAACTTTGATTTCTTTTTGTGTTTGTTTTTACTATTATTTTCACCTCCTCCTGCCATGATTGTGGGCACCTTTGTAAACAAAGAAATTATCGGACAAATGTTAAAATCGTTTCTATAAAATAACTTACCGATGCAACGACCAACACACAAAGTATAGTCAAAAGCTTCATTTTTTTTTACTTGCAAACAATAAAATTTGTCAAATAAAGTTTAATCGAATTGAAACAATTGAGCTTATTTTCAGGAGCGATTCACAAATGTAATGATCGAAATGTTAATTGAAGTCGATATTTATACGTACGGTTCTTATATTAGAATATTTCCAAAGGATCGAGTACTATCTGTCAAAATATTTCCCCCTATGCCAAGCGAAATTAATTCGATATACGGCGCTGATGTAAATGTCACTCTGTCATTTCACAATAATACTTTTTTGGCTTGACAATATATAAGCTCTTCATTTAAAATGCATACACATTCATAATTATTGAATCGTTGAAAAAAATATGTCATAAAATATTTTTCTAACATTTTTCATTAAAAAATTTATTAAAATTTTTTTTTTATAAAAAAATTAATTTGTTTATAAATTACAATAATTTCAACAAAAAATGTTTCATCGATTAAATAAGAATCCAATGTAAATAGTAATGACAATGCGACACCTACCGTAAAAATGCAAAAAGAAACTTAGTTGGTCTCCATTGTAGCATTTTGGTCCGCCATGACAGCATCTTCGTTTTACTTGACCAATCACAGAGAAGCAAAACGAAGATGCTGTTATGGCGGACCAAAATGTTACAATTCCCAATAAGTTTCCTTTTCTATATTAACGGTGGGTGTCGCATTGGTATTACTTTTTACATTAGATTCTTGTTCAATCTATGGAAAAAAAATTGAAATTATTGTTATTTTTAAACAAGCGTTCAGGATCGCATACATTTATGCGATACATTGAATGAT